ACGCACTTTGAAGTAGGGCTAGACTATACATGGAATAATACTGATTTGATTGGATGGTGATATGTGATCGGGCTGTTAAGTTCTCCTTATTATTTTGATTTTTATATAGTTTTAGATACACTAAGTTCAGTTCATGTGCCTTCTACTTAGTCTGTCAAAAATAAAAACATAACAGACAAACTCAAGATTAAATCCAGGCTTTGTAAAGAAAATAATAATATACAGAAACACATTTTCATAAAAAAAACATAATTTCTGTGATATATTTAGCTTGTTTCATAATTTATTGTTGCAAAAACCATAATTGTGGCATAAATACTACTGTAACATGTTGTAAATTGATTATTGCATAAATCTATTGCTGTATTGGTACTTTTGCAATGTACTGTGCAGTCCTACTTCGGCGTATTTCTTGAGCCAAAGTTGCCTTCATGCTGTTCGTTCTTTTGCCTTTGAAATTGAACCATCGATCTTGATTTTAGACGAGCCAGCCGTTTTCCTGCCCCACTATGTGATGATGCGGTAGATTCAGGCATCACATGGCGTTTACACATGTGTGAGTACGGCAGGTCCTACAGGGTTTATCAGAACAGTGACTCACAGGTACAGTGTGGCTTTTCTGTGTGACTCTGGTTTTGTTTACTACACGCGTTCATTCATTAAAAGTGCACCGTGTAGCATTTCTAGTGGAAGGTTCGTCACGTGTTTATATCCAAGGAAAAGTTGTTGCTTTGCCTGGAATGTTCCATAGTATGGGATTAACCTTATTTAGTTACTGATCAGATCTGTAGAGAGGCGACCCCGTTCACAGTGGAATGCATTTTTTTCAAGGTATTTTTATTTTGAGCAATAAAAACACCTGTAGTTGAATAAATGCAAACGATATTGGTTTAATGTCATATAGTGAAACATTCCAGGAAAAGAAACAACATCTCCGTGGTGACAAAGAGATTGCACATCTTCCACCAGAAAAGTTAAGCAATGCACCTTTAAAGTGTCTAAGGATAAGACGTGACACAATTCCCACGAGATGAAACAAGAGACTGAAATTTCATATAAGTTTTAGTAAATAAATTGTGCATTCTGTTCACAATTTTCTCCTCACAGTTTTTGATTTTATTCTTATTGTAGCACTGCTTTTTGGAACTACAATGATAATTTTTATATTGACTTATCGTTCAATATATGAAAACTGGAACACATTTTTTAAAATATATTTTTTATGTGTACAATTTATTTTCAATAGTGGGCAGAGTTTTGCTATTTTTATGTAATAAGGTAATATTTGAGCTGCAGAGGGTAGAATAAATGACTAAATATTGGTTCATGAAGTAATATTTTTTCATTCTGGTCGTTTTAAGTGTCATTCCTTCTTTACTTAAGGACTATTCATGGACAGGTTCTGAGTGGCCATATTGTTATTTATAGAGAAGATATGAAGCAGAGAACTGTATGTACAATTTTACAGAGTTTGGTGAACTTTGCATTATTTTATTTTAAGTCAGTGGCTAACCACGTGCTGTCCTTAGTTAAAAAACCCTATATTACTCTATTTTCTGATCTATTATTATGTTGTTTCCTCATCACAAACATACCTAGAGTTGTGTTTTGTTTCATGCACACGTTTTACACAGAAATCCTATATATTTAGCCTCTGAAAATGAAAACACTCTGTTCCACCTTGTGATGTCATGTGGTAATACAGGAAATGCTCCATTACTTTTGTAAACTCCGTACACTTTCACTAGAATCATTTGGATGATTTCAGCCCTGGAATTACCGATCTCTACTGAATTTAAGGTAAAAGGAGCTGTTAAATTGAAAACTATCACTACATGACATCACAAGGTGAAACGGAGTATTTTGATCTTTGGAGATGTGGATGGATTTATAATAAAGGATTATTCAAACTTGTGTGAATGATACAAAACACAACTCCAGGTATATTTCTGATGAGATAACACCATTCGAACATGGCTTAAAGCTCACAAGAATCCATTTTGTGTAATATAGGACCTTAAAGCCCGTTTGTTCTGATCTGGCTGCTGCTGCTGCCTGTTGACTATCAGTTGTTTTTGTCCCACATTCTCCCTTTGTGAGCTCCAAAGTGGCCTCTCTTCATTCATTCTCTTCATTTGAGTTTCCTCTCTCAGCTCTGGCTGAACAGTCCTTTCTCTGGTCAGAATACATGGACTGTTCAGGAGGGAAAGCCCCTCATTTTGCTGTCCTGGATTTAAGAGGTAGGACCTTTACAAACAGGGAAACATGAGATAAATGCTGCAATTCAAAGTGAAAATCTGTTTGCATAAAGAGCAGGCCTAAACTTACCACAAGTTTTTAACAGTGATTTTAGAAAACTTAATGGAAAAAATATACAGATATCATTTATTAAACACAATGTTGTTTTAACATTATTTACATCAACTTTCAAATGTTAATTAACTTTACATACATTTATAAAAATGAATATGAATTCACTGCCACATTCAGGAGACTTGGTTAAACCCTCAGCCCCGTTTTAACCACGTTTGTGTTTGAATTGGAGCGATTAAACGTCTCATTCTTAAATCTCCCTTGGCTGGCCTGTGTGTTCTTGTATGACATTGTTTGTATTGCTCTAGAATGAGCATATTTGTGATTGGACCATTAACCCAGTGAGGGGGCTGTGCTGTGTGTAAACACTGTCAGTTATGTTTTAGACGCCTGTTGGCTCTGACTCAGTCAGAGATGGCAGCTTTTCATTTAGATTTTCACATCCAAGACATTTTTAAAGACACACACTTTGCTGTTCTTTTTGTGCTCTCACACAGCCAATAGAACATATTCATGTGGATCTGTCATTTTTACAATAAATGATCTGTTCTTATGTGACATACAGTAAAAGGGGATTACTGTAGCTGTAAACTCGAGTCATCTGTCACAGCCACACACAACACAATCACTTCTGCTTTCATGAAAAAAGAAAAAAAAGCTTAGATCATAGAGAAATATAATTCAAACATTCATTGAAGCTGTTGCTTTGACAGGATGTTGCTGTTCACTTGCTGTCTGTGCCATTATATTTCAGAAGTGCATTACTGGAGATCCCAGGGGCTTTCTGGTTAATTAATCCTCATTTGACCTCCTAGTTAGAGCTGTCTCTTATTGGGGTCTCTGTGCTTTCATCAGCGCAGCAGAGCCCATAATTTCCCTTGTCTTATAGTTCCATCTAGTGGTTTATGTATAACCAGTCTCTGCTTAGGACTTTCTGTTTCAATATCATTATCATTAAAATTTCAGGCTTAAAAAGACATTTTGTGAAAAAAATGCCTAAAACAATTCATTTTAAACCAATAAGCAAACATCTATACCAGTTTTATGTAATATTTATAATTTTTTTACTACTTGCAGCAGCTTTCAACAGCCTGATATAAATATAAATATATCCCTTTTTATGATTAGATGCTCAATAATCTTCAAATTCAGAAATGATTTAGCATTTCTTTGTCTGCTATGCTATTTTTTTATTACCAGATATAATTTTATAGAATAAGCTATTCAATTCTGACTTTTTCACAATTCTAACAGAAAACTCTTTTATTGAGTTGTGAAATTAGTTCCAGCTTTTACAAAAAAATAAAAAATAAAAATACTGGTAAATTGAAACATTGTCTTGTATCAGCTGTGTAACATTGCCTTGACATTGTGCTTAATATTTTGCAGTGTCTTTTATTAAACAGTGAGAGATTGTGTGCAGAGTCTGTGGTCAGTCACTGCAGGATGTTGTCTTCGAGAGGAAGGAGCACTGCGGTTTCATGCGGTTGTCATTTTCACCTCCTCTGCTCACATCAGCGCTCCAGCAGGGGGCACTCTCGCCTTCACCTGGGCCCCCTGCCAGATGGTTAAGTCCAGCCTCTGCACACAGTTACTGTTCAATATGACACTGTTAGAAAACCAATAGGGAGTCTGAATATGTTGACAGGTTGTTTTCCAAGTTAAAGCAGCATTACGCAACTTTTCTCTGCTCCATGGAGATCTTATTGCTTTCTTTGGAATATTCCACAGTATAGTATTAATTGTATCTACTTCCATGGAGACAAGCAGACGAAGAGAGCTCCTACAACAGTAAGAAGTTATATTTATATTATAAGTTATTTATTTAGCAATAACAGTATGGTTTAATGCCCTACTGTGGAACATTACAGGCAAAACAGTAACATCTCCATAGAGACAAGCAGGTTGCCGACTACCCACCAGAAAAGTTACATAATGCAGCTTTTAGTCATTGAGAAATTGTGTCAAAAAGTATTTATTTATTTATACTTAACATAGACATATAGGTAAAGTTATTATTAAATCTAGGTTGAACATGTAAGTTCAAATATTATTTTTTGTTTGGATTAAGTAAAAATGGTAAATTAAAGGTAAATGTTTGAAGAGATTTTTCTGTTACATTTAAATTATCTATAGCTATATGACTCCAAATGCGTATTGTAAGGAGCAACTCTGTCCAGCTGGGGGAGCACTTTAACATCAAGACACAACTGATTCAATCTTGTTGCTGCACATAATACTAAATATAGAGTATAATCTAACACTATTGCATTTACACCGACCTATAAAGACAGAGTGAGTTCATATGAAAGAGGTAATATTTTAGAAACAATACCCGCTTGTACTTCATGAAACAATCATACATATATAGGAGGACAGTGAGTAATAGTAGCTGTGATCTTGGTGTAGTGAGAGATACGAGGAGAGAGAGAGGGACACTAGGACACAGCTCACATAGACAGGGACAGCGAGATTGTATGTGTGACTGAGCATAAGTCTGTATGCTAACTCTATCTCCTATTAAGTGCTAACCTGCTTTGTAGTCTTCTTCTATTATCCCACTGGACTCCGCTGCTTGGATCTTGGTGCTACAGTACATCTCATTTGTTTCATTTGGCGAGCTGTGTGGTCGCTTTGTGTTGTAATAGTGGGACATACGCTTGTTCTTAAAGCTGTAGTCAATGGCAATGTCTCCAATAGTGAGAAGTCCAGAGTGTACCCCTGTGGAGTGCCATTGCAAAGTTGCCTGTACCAACAAGACTTTGTCGCTGATGTTTGGATGCAAGGTAGGACAATGTTTTTTGTTTTTTTTGTTTATTATTTATTTTTTGCACATATACAACAAAAAGCACAACAAAATAGCAGTAGATAGATAAAAAGAAGGTGCAAGAAGAGGCAATATTAAAGCCTTCATCTTATTGTATTTTCTTTTTATGCTATTACTGTATTCTGATAATTATTTTTTTAAATAATAATATGTCAGCAATCAAACTGAAATCGCAATTTGAGTTGAGTTCGAGGCTGCAGTTATTTAGCTAATATGATGAATACTCTGCAAAAAACAAAATATCCAGTCTTTTTATATCAAAATCTGTTGTAGTTTAGACTTCTACAAACATGCTCTGAAACACACGGGATTCTTGTATTAGTTTATCATTTCATATTTCAGTCTTCTCTCAAATGTTAATGAGTTGTTTACAGAATCCTACTTTTAAAATCAGCAACACAATAGTTCTCAGAAAAATCACAATTATGTTTATTCCTGACATTGTGCAGCTCTAAAATACAAAAAAAATGACCTATATTTTTACTTACTTAGTGCTTACTCCTTCTCTCTATGTGCAGCCCTCCTAGCAGTGCTAATGCTTACTGGGGCTTAATGAGGGCATATTTACAGCACAGTAATATTTCTGTATGCGGCGCTGTCACCCTTTATTCGTCATGGTGACAGGCCAGAATTAATCCTCTGACTGTAATGGGCCCATTGCAAGTCAATTCCAGCTCCTCATCTCTCCTGCGCTTCTTAGGGAGATGTGATTGGTAACTTCATTTTTACCCAAGGAACGCTGTTTTGTCTCTGTCAAAGTGCGTATTAATTCTGAGCACTGCAATCTTAGCAAACTGTTCGAACAGCAAAAGCAAGGGATTATAGTTGTTTTTGTATTTTGTGTACGATTGTTTTATATGTTTACAATCTCACCTCGCTGTTGACAATTCTTGGTGCATGGGGATGTTATTTCTCCATGCACCAAGAATTCTCCATAAATTATCGTTCAGTATGAGATCTGGAACAATATTTTTAGGCTCAGTATTTATTGTGAGTACAGTTTCTTTGCAAAAGTGGGGAGATTTTTGTTACTTTAGTTGTAATACGGTAAGATTATTAGTCACACTTAATGGTTCATTCAATTATTATGCTTTTTGATACTGTTTAAAAATTGTGTACTAGGATTATCCTTGCTCACAAAGTACTGTAGTTTCAATATTTCTCTGTAGCAATATACTGTGCTAAAATGTGCTCTCGTGACTATTTCATTTCCTTGAATGTTCCACAATATGGCATTAAACTTGTGTATCTTGTATTTAGTCAGTTACAGGTGCTTTTATTTCTTAAACAAACCTAATCATAGCATTCATTTTTTTCTATAATCAGGTTTGTTTCGCCACCAATCTGACCTGTAACTTGTCCTGGTAGTGTCTTAATTTATTTATGTTTAATACCATACTAGGGAACATTTTGGGAAAATAAATAACGGCTCTGTGGAGAAAAGAAAAGTTGCATAGCTCTCCTTTTATTAGTTAGCAATTATCCATGCATGGTCAGGCAAAGAAATATCAAACAGAGCTTTCTAAAACAACAATAGAACCGGATAATACTTAGGCATGTTGTTATATTACACATTTGGTTATTTGGTCAGTAGAAATATACTATGAGAGATCTTTGTTTCATCATATTCTACTTTGTCATGAGATCAGAATAGTAATAAGCTGAGTGAGATCATGTATGTGCCATTTATGTGAGTGATATTAATCTTGAGAGCAGAGTCAAAGGGCGACTGAGGCATTAGACTGATATAAGAAGGGCTTCTGGGAGTTAAAAGTGTGATCCTGCTTACAAAACTCAGTAAACATATTTTAACTTCATTCATTTTGTACTTATTTTTAATTGTTGTTAAATACCTGTTGTGCTGTTGTGTAAAAGAGGCATTGTTTCCAGTGTCCTTGCTCTTATTGATCCTATAGGAATTCAAATCAAATGCCTTTTTACTTTCTATTGTGGCAGGAAGTGCTTCACTGCGATTTTAAACTCCATACACCTTCAAGAGAATCCCTTGACTTGAAAACTACCATTACATGAGGTCACAAGGGGGAAAGGAGCATTTTAAGCTTTAGATATGTAGACAGACTAATGCTTGATTACTCAAATGTGTGAATGAATCAACACAACTCCGGGTGTGTTTTTGATGAGCTAACAGTATTCTAACATGGCTTAAAGTGTCAATTTTGTGTAATGAAGGACCTATAATGCCGGACATACACTGTGAGATGTTTTCCATTGTTTCACTCAGCCCCAGCTCAAACTGTATGACCAAATCGCAGGGTTTTAAAGTTCACAGCTATACAACTTCCTCAGCAGTGCAAAACCCTTACGAGAAGCAACTGGATTCTAAAGAGGTTTGATATTCTTCCGACCTACGATTGCCGGTCGGGAACTGGTCGTGAGTTGTTAATCGGTTCTCGTTACTCCATGTATACTACATGAAGTACAACACACGATTAAGCCAAAACTCGTCCTGATCCCAAAAAGAATGGCACAATTGAAAAATTGTCTCAAAAAGGGCCTAAAGTCACACAGTGTATGCCTGGCTTAAATAAGACACGTTGCTCTCATGCACAGATATCTCACTTAGTAAATTCAAAATGATGTGATTATTATCCACATTGATATCTGATGGGTGCCAAGAGCATTTTAAACCAAAACAAAAAGTAGGGAGTAATAAGTGTTGCTGTCATGAACAGATCTCAGTCAGTTGGTGGAAATTCAAAATGATGAGGCAGGACGTCGAAAATCCCCATTGACTTTAGATCGGTGCACTTTTTTGACTGGATGTTTGGGCACATTTGAATGGAAAAAGCCAGAGGAGCAGGAGGCAGGTGCTCTTATAACATCCCCCATAGCTCAGCCCTCCCCTCATACTGTCTGCTGGAATTAGGACCATGGACGAGACTGGAGTGAGGAGAGTCTAACTGTAGGTATATAAAGCCCCAGAAAGAGGTCAGCACACACAAACCACGGGGAGATTCCACGCTAAATCTGCACCGACTCTGCACGCGCCCACGGCCATGCCACCCCTCATTTCCATCTCAGTATACGGAGGAGGGCACGAGCGTCAGCAAACAGGAATCCTCATAGTGCAGCATGGCAGAGGCACACGTGGCAATATGGTGATAACTATACTGATATCCTCCATGTGACAACTGTGAAAGTAAAAATGTATATGGGTACAAAATACTGAATATCTGCATTAGAATGTATTTTGTACTGGATTCTGATACATGAGCCAATCAGAGTGCTGTATTCTGAATACTTAGAATACTTTTACATTATATTTTAGTATAAAAAACTTGACATATAAATATAAATAACAGAGATCTGTTAATAAAATCAGCTTTATCTAAAAATAAACCAAACATCTGTGCATTTCAGTCAGATGGAGAACCTTTGTGCTACTGCAATATATAATTTGTTCCTATATTGATTATTGCATTTATTTATTTGCTATATTTTTTTGCAGCCCTTGCCACAGTCTTCATAACTAAGACCAGTTAAGTTGTATCACTGAAAATATCCAAGCCAATGTGTCCAGTGTAGATCAAAAAGCCAAAATAATTCATACTGTAAGACGTTTAAGACTCACATTGAAAGTGGAGCATAGTCTGTAGGGCTGTCATGATGATTGCTATATCGACTTATTGTTCAATATATGTCAATATATTTTACATGTGTACTTTTTCTTAGTATTAATGGAGGAGTTTTTGTCATTTTTCTGTACTACAACAATTTTTAAGCTGTATAGGGTCCAATATTTAACCTCTGTGACTCACTGTAGATGCAAACTAAGTACTAAAGTATTTTGCAGTTTGTTTTAACCGTCTTATACATTTAGTATAGTGTCGTATATAATCCTGCTTTAGGGTTATTTTGTCAGTGGCATAAATTAGTTTCAATATTACTGTGGTCTATATTTAGTTCAGCAAATATTTCTTACTTCAAAATCTGTTATGGGGACAGGCCTAATGGTCCAATCATGTCAATACTTTCAGCATAATAACTGTGTAAATTTGGCATGGCCTAAATACACACTAGTAAGTGTTACACAAATATAAGTCTGTGATGTGGAATTGTATAATTAAAGCTGCTTCGGTGAGAAACAAAAGCTCTGAAGAGTGACTAATGCTGGAATAATAATTATCCTGGAGCAGTATTTTGAAGTGTTCTGTTGGCTTGGCATTGGACAATATTTGTTCAGTTGTTTGGCTTAATACAGGAAAAAAAAAAATCCAGACGAACACAGCACACTTTTTATGCTTGCAGTTAAATCCATTTACATATTGGGACATCAGATTTAAAGGTGTACTGTGTAACTTTTCTGTTGACGCCCCGGTATCACATTAAACATCACGCATTTACTCTATGACATGGGATTTTATTGATTTAAAAACCTGGATTCTTACGATGAGTGGCATGTAACTTGGCCCTATGACATCAGCTGTTGTCTTCGTAGAGCTAAATAAGTGTAATGCTATACTGTGGAACATTCCAGGCAACATCACCATGGAGAGTAGCAGGTGATGGACCTTCTAGCAGAAAGGGCACAAGGCACTTTTAACCTTTAAGACCTTAGAGTATTTTTGATTAAGCACACTATTTCTATGTGACAATGTGACATTTCTAGTGACAATGTGACATTTCTAGTGACAATATTTCATCATAAGCATATACAATTTGAAAAACATAAAGGCACTGAATCAGATTTTTACTGTCTTAAGTGAAAAACAGAATTAGCTTATCTCAAATGGTTTGTAGTAGACCAAAGTTTCCTGAGTGCTTCCTGTATTATAAATATTTTCTTTTTGAGAGAAGATCTCAGCCTAAATCTGCAGGGTTTGTGTGTTAAACATGTGTGAATGAAACACAAAACAAAACACAACTCCAGGTATATTTTTGATGAGGGAACAACATTATAACATCCTCCATCACTGGTCAGATGTGGTCTAATTATGT